CCTTTGAAAATGTCCACCGCAGTTGTGGACGAAACGTCAGGAGGAAATTCCGATAGACCACGGCTTCAAAGCCCGGAAAACATTCCTAAATGTAAACGATTAGATATTATAGATAAATCATGGATGGATTGTCTGATGATGTTGGCTCTGTTGCAGGTCTACTGGTTCACTGTAGAGTTCGGGCTGTGCAAGGAGGCCGGCGAAACCAAAGTGTACGGAGCCGGGCTTCTATCGGCCTACGGCGAGCTGCTTCACTCGCTCTCCGAAAAACCGGAGCTGCGGCCCTTCGATCCGGCCTCCACTGCGATGCAGCCCTATCAGGACCAGGAGTACCAGCCGATCTACTATGTGGCCGAGAGCTTCGACGACATGAAGGACAAGTTCCGGCGATGGGTGAGCGCCATGTCCAGACCGTTTGAGGTGCGTTTCAACCCGCACACTGGCCGCGTGGAGGTTCTGGACTCGGTCGACAAGCTAGAGAGTCTGGTGCAGCAGCTGAACACCGAGGTGCTGCACCTGTCCAACGCGATCAACAAAATCAAGGCGCCCAGTCTCAGCTAAGCGCCCCCTTAGACGGTCCGGCTCATTTCGGTTGTGTTGTTGTAAAGTTTTGTTTTCTTGTATTATAGTTTCGACTTATTTATAATGCATACCGCTAGACTAGGCTAAGTTTCCAAGTATTATCTTGCTCGTAGTGCCCAGCACCAATGATTTTGTGATGATGTGTCTAGTAATCTGTGTAATGCAAAAGACAGCAGCGTCCACGGGTTTTTTTCAAGAAGAAAAATCTGTTGACGCTGCCACCATAGCTCATATTTATAGTAACTTATAGCACTCTGCACGCTCGTTGTAATTTGTATATAATTCTATATATTATTATTATTATTATTATTATCATTGTTGTAAATCTATGGAATATATAAACGTGCAATCATAACGGAGGTTTTTTATTTTATTCCTACGGAAAAATGGTGCAATAAAACCATCAATCGCAAAGCGACGAAACCGTTTTCCCGAGCTCAACTAGTAAAGTTTGGAAAAATAGTCAATAAACTGAAAGCACTGAAACCAAGGGCGGATCCAGGGGGGGTCATGGGAGTCATGAACCCCCATTCAATTCTCTATCCAACGATGCCAAAATAAATTCTGTGGCTC